AAATGTAGCTGATTTTCCTGCACAAACATTCTGTGCTAAGAAATTTTTGTGTTCACACTCTGGACTTTGCTCTGGAAACACTATCTGAAGAATTCACTTTCAAGGGTAAAACATTTGCTACAGCATGTTTTCACAGGCAGATTTTTGTAGCTTTCTGCACACAAAAATTCATTACACCTTTCCTGGGAATGATTTTTGAAGAAAAAAAAAGGAAGCAGCACTTATATATCTTTTAAATTAAAATATTTTATGCTCTATATTTGATATGCCATATCTGAGGTGAGTTCTTCTGCAGGGCATATGCAGTTCCTTCTTCATATATGATACTACCAGTTAAACAGCAAAGTATCTTGTACATGCCAGAGTTACTTACTGAGCTAGAAAGACCTATTAGTGGAGGAAATACATAATGAAACTTCAAGATATAAAAGTAGAAAGAAGGAAAGTCAGGAAGAAAATGCTCAGTAGCAGTCAATATAGTGATTAGAGGCAGAGTTTCAGAAATGCCTTTGAAGGACAAAGAGGGTCATGTTAGTACACTGGAAGATGTGACAGCCCCATCCTAAAGTATAGTTGCTTCAGAGATGACCCCAGGAAATGTGGCCTTGCCTTGAGGCATTCATTTGTCAAGTTTTGGGCCAACAAACCACTATCAGCATTGCTCATGGTCTGCCATGGATCTTTGTCACAAACCTTGAGCTAAAAACATTCAGAATTTGAGGAAAAAAAAACTGTGGACTTTGAGGTCCACTCACTACAAAACATGGGAACTGCTGCTCTAAGATAATCAAACACCCAGCTGCCACAACATTGACTTATCTGTTGCCTGAATACTGTGAGAAGGAAAATGAAGCCTCCTAACTCATGGAGATCCACAGTTATTTTGCCTACCCTTGGGCCACGGTGAAGTATTAGCAAAAACCCTAACAAACCCACGGTGTCTATCTTTTCTACTCCCTGTGCAACAGAACTTGCGGTGTCAATGGAGAGGAGAAAAGCCACCACTCTGACATCCATTCTGTGCAAAAGGAGGTGGCAAGGGCTGGCCAAGACAAAGCTTGACATGTTTACACCGAAGCCTTCAACATACTGCTCATTCCATTATAAGTGGATCAAAGCAAAGGGCATGATTATATATTTGTGTAGCGCCAACAGTGTGTTAAGCACTCAATTTGCCATCAGAGGCTATTCCTTTTGCTGTGATATTTCAGGCAGGGATTCCCATTCATCACATTGATCCCACTCTGGGCCTAGAGCACAAGGTCAGCTGTCATTGGCTCTGTCACGCTCAAAGGCTGCAGTGCTCTGGTAATTAAGACTGTTAGATGGGAGGACCTCTTTTCCTGCTATTTGATGTAGAGTAGGTGCAGATGAAAGATTTATAGTTTTAATTCAAATAGGGGACTTGTTTTTGACAACTTAATTGCGTTTGCAGAGAAGTTCTGGACCCTTTCTCTTGCCAAGTCATTATAGAAAGGCCTCACATCTTGAATCTACCAGGAAGCTGTTTGGATTAAAGAAATAACCAAAGGGACTCTGCATTAATGCTGATAGAAACAATAAACATTTGCTTGTCCTTCCTCTGCTTGTAATAAATATGTTGCTTAAGATAGTACATTTTCATACTTCGAGACCAAGATGGGTATATGTTTTCCTAACTTTTTTCTCTGTCTATATTCATCTCTATAAAGAGAATTTTCCTTTTTTATAGCACCCTTACTAAAATTAGTTAATGAAGCCGGTAGAATAAAAGGCTAGACTGAACACATACTAAAAACAGGTACTTGTTCCTTTAATAAAAACGTGATTATAAATAATAAAATATAGCTTATTTCTGTCCACAAAATTGCACTTTTTTTTTTTTTTTTTTTTAATACAAAGTCATTGCAACACTTCACAGTTACCGCAAAGATATTCCTTTCACCCACCTAGTAGGAGCTAAACATCTGGACTGCAATTAAAATCACCTAAAAGTTAAGAAATCACTTAAGGCACCCAGTCAGTACAGGCAGATTTCTCAGGGATATGTATGTATGTAGTGGGTTTGCTCATGCTGATTGGCTTTTGCTAGCAGCTGCCAGCAGAGGCAGGCTGTTATGCTCTGTTTGGACAGAGGGAGGAAGATGATGTGCTTTTTGTCAGCAGATTACGGAGTAATTCCCAATAGGCAAGGTGAGACATCCCTGGCACAGGAGAACCTGGCTCCTATTCCTGGCGCTGGAAAAAGTGACGGATGGTCAGACAAGTGGAGGTACCCCATCTTGCATGTTGTTTGGTTCACATTTTGGGCATGAGGTCTGTAGGAGTGCCACTGGTTTGGGATCTGGGACCTTCCCCTAGCTCTGTCTGGTATAATCCCACAGCCCTCCATACAAATCGAGTCGTTTACAACAATGAAACTCAGCTCGTTCAAAATCTGAAATAAAAGTACTTCTTAAATTCTTTATGCTGAGCAATGAAAGGGAACAAAGCTAGGCTGCTCTATTTGTGTGGCTTTCATTACAGAGCATGTGAGGTTTTTATAACCATTGCTAACATTGTTCTCATAAAAGGAACTGAAACACAGAGACTTAAAGAAAGACTGGCATTTAAAAAGGCATTTCAGCTCCTTAAAGTGGCTGCTAGTTTCATAGTGAAACAATCCAGAAGTCCCTAGCTAGGCGTTTTTCTTAGCACAGATGAGTACCTTCAAGCTCATAAAAGCCTTCAGACTGTTGCTATCATGAAAAGCAGAACAAGGAACTTAACCATAATCTCGTGAGCTCCCAATACCCAGCGTTTAAGCTCCCAGTACACAACCATCTTAAGAACCTGAACATGCACAAGTCCATGGGACTTGATGAAATCCATCTGCGGCTCCTGAAGAAGCTGGCAAATGAAGCTGCTAAGCCACTGGCCATCATATTTGAAAAACCATGGCAGTCAGGTGAAGTTCCCAATGACTGGAAAAAGGGAAATATAACCCCCATTGTCAAGAAGGGGAAAATGGGTGACCCAGGGAATTACAGACCAGTCAGTCTCACCTCTGTGCCTGGCAAAATCTTGGAGCAGATTCTCCTGGAAGGCATGCTAAGGCACATGAAAAACAACAAGGTGCTTGGTGACAGCCAGCATGGCTTCACTAAGGGGAAATCCTGCCTGACCAATTTGGTGGCCTTCTATGATGGAGCTACAGAACTGATGGACAGGGGTAGAGCAGTTGATGTCATCTACCTGGACTTGTGTAAAGCGTTCGACACTGTCCCACACGACATCCTTGTCTCTGAATTGGAGAGACATCAATTTGATGGGTGGACCACTCACTGGATAAAGAACTGGCTGGATGGCCGCACAGAAAGAGTTGTGGTCAATGGCTCAATGTCCAGCTGGAGACCAGTAACGAGTGGTGTCCCTCAGGGATCGGTGTTGGGACCGGTCTTGTTCAACATCTTTGTCGCTGACATGGACAGTGGGATTGAGTGCGCCCTCAGCAAGTTTGCCGATGACACCAAGCTGTGTGGTTCGGTTGATAATGCTGGAGGGAAGGAATTCCATCCAGAGGGACCTTGACATGCTTGTGAGGTGGGCTGATGCCAACCTCATGAAGTTTAACCATGCCAAGTGCAAGGTCCTACACCTGGGTCAGAGCAATCCCAGGCACAGCTACAGGTTGGGCAGAGAAGAGATTCAGAGCAGCCCTGTGGAGAAGGACTTGGGGGTGTTGGTTGATGAGAAAATGAACATGAGCTGGCTGCAGTGTGCACTCGCAGCCCAGAAAGCCAACCGTATCCTGGGCTGCATCAAAAGGAGCGTGACCAGCAGGTCAAAGGAGGTGATCCTGCCCCTCTACTCTGCTCTCATGAAACCTCACTTGGAGTATCATGTACAGTTCTGATGTCCTCAGCATAAAAAGGACATGGAGCTGTTGGAACAAGTCCAGAGAAGGGCCATGAGGATGATCAGCAGACTGGAGCACCTCCTGTATGAAGACAGGCTGAGAAAGTTGGGGCTGTTCAGCCTGGAGAAGAGAAGGCTGCATGGAGATCTCATAGCAGCCTTCCAATATCTGAAGGGGGCCTATAGGGATGCTGGAGAGGGACTCTTCATGAGAGACTGTAGTGATAGGACAAGTGGTAACGGGTTAAAACTTAAACAGGGGAAGTTTAGATTAGATATAAGAAAGAAATTCTTTCCTGTTAGGGTGGTGAGGCACTGGAATGGGTTGCCCAGGGAGGTTGTGAATGCTCCATCCCTGGCAGTGTTCAAGGCCAGGTTGGACAGAGCCTTGGGTGACATGGTTTAGTGTGAGGTGTCCCTGCCCTTGGCAGGGGGGTTGGAACTAGATGATTTTAAGGTCCTTTCCAACCCCAACTATTCTATGATTCTATGATTTTCTCCACGTACAGAACACTGCCAGCGAGGTACAATTCAGGGCACAGGCTGTGCTCCCTTGCAGCACCTCTCCACCAGGGAGAGCAGAGGCTGTGATGGGGATGCACATGCTGTTGGGAGGAAGTGCAGGTGCTACCAGCAGGAGTGTCTCTGCAGGAGAATCAGGGGAGGAGAGGATATTTTACATCTCCAGGACCTTCAGCTCCTGCTGCATCTGGACAATGACATTTCTCTTCTGACTGCAGCAGCCCAGGGGCTGTGGAGAGCAACAGTCCCTTTTTAAAGCAGCAGAAAGGAAAGATAAGCACGCACCTGCGAAAATTAAGAGCATTTGGATTTACACTGAAGGGGAGAGGAGAGAGTTGTTGGTTGGGTTTTTTAAGCTTGGTTTCCCAGAGAGCACTAGGGTTGTGCAAACCGGCTCCCTTCATGGGTTATTTCCTGAGAACCCAACCTGCAGCCATCTCCCATGTCTCAGGGACTCCCCAGAGGCTGCTCCCCTCCACCCTGGGTCTGCTGTTTTCTGCGGCAGTAGTGAGCCATCGGGTTTGGATTTCGGTCTGTGGGTGGGAAAGGGAAATGGCCTTTGTCATTTCCTAAGCATCACCTGGGACTGAAATGAAGGTTGTGACTTGCTAGGTGGAGGCAGACAAAAGCAAGCCAACTGAAGAGAGCAGCACAAGGATGCAGGTCCTTGCCCTATTCACCCAGAGGCCATAAAGTTGGGACAAGTGCCTTTCCTGGAGTTAGTGGAGGCCACAAAAGCAGAAGAGCTATTTGTGATACCAGGGGTGGGACTGTCCACCTCAGCAGATGAAAGCTGTACATGCTGGTTTCAGCTGGGATAGAGTTAATTTTCTTCCTAGTAGCTGGTACAGTGCTGCTTTTTGGCTTTAGTCTGAGAACAATGCTGATAACACATTGATGTGTTAGTTGTTGCTAAGTAATGCTTACCCTGATCTTACCTGAGACTTTTCAGTCTCATGCTCTGCCAGCACAGGAAGCTGGGAGGAAGCGAGGAGGAAGCTGGGAGGAAGCGAGGAGGAAGCTGGGAGGAAGCTAGGAGGAAGCAGACACAGGACACCTGACCCAAATTAGCCAAAAACTAATTCCATACCACAGCACATCATGTCCAGTATATAAGCTGGGGGAGTCACCTGGAAAGGATCAATTGCTGCTCAGGTGGGGCCATTCATTGGTCAGCAGGTGGTGAGCAATTGCATTGTCCATCACTGCTGTTTATTGTTGGTTTTTTTTCTTTTCCTCTTTAGTTTTATATCTCTGTCCCTGTTATTCCCTTTATAAATAGTAGTATTAGTATTGTTATTATATTGTACTTTAGTTATTAAACTGCTCTTATCTCAGCCTGTGGTTTCTACATTCTTTTGATTCTCCTCCCCATTCTGCCTGGGGCAGGAAGTGGGGGAAAGGAAGGGATGAGCAAGTAGCTGCATTGTGCTGAGTTACTGGGTTGCTCTAAACCATGAGGTTGTGCCCACTTTTTTACTGGTTCTTGTCCCCCTTGTAGCTTATGCTATGAGTGAATCTCTTCACTTTTACCAAATGACGGTATCAACTCATTCACAAGTGTTATAATCTGGATCCAGGCCATGTATTGATAGGACAAGAGGGTTCTTGCAGTCAAGAAGTGTCTTTCCTTCACATTCAAGCATGTACTCACCTGGTTTCCGTGTCACCCCTGCAGGATACAGCCTGAGAAGATCCATCCACCTCTTACACAAAATAAAGGAGCTCTTTATTTACAGGCCTCCCTGCTCAGTATGATCTGGAGCCTAGGCTGCCCAACAGTGTTTACATCATCAGGCAAAATCACCAGAACTACATTTGTGCAGGACTTTTTTACCTCAGAATATCTTTTTAATTTATAAACCCATGGATCTTACTCGTCTCCCAGCTGGGTCCAAAATCAGACTCTGCATTTGCTTAGGGTTCCTAACAACCTGGCAGCACACATTAATTGTACACACATGGTTATAGAATATGGCTTTATAAAGGAGGGAGTTTTACAGCCCTCAGTTTTAGAGTGTCCCATAGTACAATTTAAGAGTAGAGCAGGGCTGGTCAAGTCACCACATGCTGATGCTTCAGAGAGTACTGCAGAAGCAAGCAGGAGTCATCCAAGAAAAGATTTGGTCCAGGTGTTTCAAAAAGGACTCAAGTTCCTTTAATGAGACAGAACAAGAAGTGTATTACCATTGAAAAGGAAAAAAATGTCTGTAGGAAGGTTTTGATGGTTTTGAAAGTTTTCTGCTCAGCCTGATTTGTGCTTGGTGCAGTAGAAAAGGAGGGCTGGAAAGGCAACTTTTCACCACCTCTGAAAACCTGAACAATTTTTCTCTAAATACCTGAAAGTAGATTTAGAAGCTCAGCATTAGCCATTAAGCTTTGTAAACGTTGGCCAATAAAAATGACAGGTTTTCCCAGGTGTATCTTAAATACAGTGTTTCTTGTTGTAACCTCATTAAGTGAGAAGCATGATAGATATTCCTTTAGCACATCCTTTGTGTTTCTGCAGTCAGTTGTCATCTATCTGTTATTCTCTACATCATTTATTTTATTGTGTTACTCTCTCCTGAGCTCTAGAGAAGGTCCCAGACAATTCTAGTGCTGCAGATATGTGATTTTGGCAGGATCACTCAATTGCTGTTCCTCAGAAATAATCCTGCCTTGGCACAGGGGTAAAATGCTGCAGCATATCCTAATTAGTTGTGAATGCTGAAGGGAGAAGTCCATTACACTGCAGGACCCTGCTCTCTGGAAGGTGGTGAGAAAGCATCCATTGACAAAAAAAAAAAAAAAAAAAAAAAAAAAAAGCCCAATCAGATGTAAATAACCCAGAGAACCTTATGGAAGGTGAATTAAATTTCAGATTGTTATTATTCATCTCGATTGTTCATGAGCAGGGTGAACTAGACTGCACTGAGCTCAGAACTGCCATGACAAAGCTTCAAACCAGTTAATTTAAAAATACCTCTGACTCTCTGCACCGTCCCTTGCTTCCTGTCTAGATACCTTTTGAAAATACGTACTCTCACACTCTCCCTGTCTGGGTTTTGATCTAATACATGCCTACAAGTGCCACAGCCTATTAACAAACCTTCAAGCTGTTTAGCTGGGTTCTTTGGCAACCAGAGTGCCTGGAGCTGTGAGATGCTGCAAAGAGCAGCTAAATGGGCTAAATGTGTGAACATTTCTGACAATGATGTGTGCAGTGTCACAGCATGTCCATCCTTGTATAACTTTCTGGGTTTCCCACACAATTTAAATCAGGCCAGTCATTTGCAACTTGGAAGCATAGAAAAGAAGGTATCAGAAGACAAAGTGAAAGGGTATAATAATGCTGCAAACAAGAATATGTATCTACTGGACTATGTCTTAAGAAGGTCTGACTATCACTTTGTACAATCAGCCTATTTATTGGAGGTACGGCAATTCTCACATTACAGAGCACTATCATTTAGAATACAATTTTGATTAATATCACTCAAAAATGAAACATTGAGATAGTTCAGTTCCTTCCAAGGAGGAAATTCAAATCCATTGGGGAAGTCACAGACAGCATGTGTAAACTCTTTTGCTGATAGAAAATGATGAAATATCCCAGAACATCATTACTGCTCAGTACTTCCCAAAGTCTGTTCCTCCAATCCCCCAAACTAACAACCCTATGGATTTATGATTTACCGAGAGATCCACAGGTTTCTCAGACCATTCACTCAGCTTTGTGAGGAAGTGAGGGATTACAGGGAACTAGACAAGCAGGTCAGCCAAGGTTCGTGTCTTGACTTAACTGTAAGTTGATAGTGACATTTTCCAGATATCTATGGGGACTTTATCTTGGGAGATGCTCATTTTATAAACACAAGGTAGAATTTCCTGAAGTAGGAATTTACGATACCGTGTGCGTCCTTGTAGACTAGCAGACACTTCCATCTCACCAGCTCTTTCAAAGACACTTCAAACATGAAGAAGTGACACCATGCTCTGTAGGCAAGAAGAGAGAGCTGAGATGTGGCCTTTGTCTCCATCCATGCTGCATCCCCAGCCAGCGTTCACGCATGCATCTTGTACCAGACACCTTCCCAAAATGATGCAAGAAAGAGGTGAAGTGTAGCTCCTGCCTCTCCACACCAGAAAACTGTGCTTGCTAGCAAGGGATGGACACCAGCTCTTTAGAGTCAACCCTGTAGAATCAACCTCTGGGGAGCCCAGAGCCCCAGCACATTCATTAAGGGGTGTCTCCAAGGCAGCCTGGCATAATTTCTCCTAAATCTCTGGAAAGCATTGGTAACTGCCTTCTGCTGTGAAACAGAGTCACTTTAAATTTTAAGGTTGATCTCAGCAGCAGTGCAGGCAGGAGACTGCCAACTCTAAATCTCTTGCTACTCTTTAAAATGCCAGATGGTCAGTTTATGCAACTGTCTAATTGTTCTTGATAAAAAGCCAGAGGTATGCATGTTGCTTTACAGACAATTAAAAAATTGAAGGTCTGAACCATAGATGGCTTCCAGTCTGGATCCTTCACAACACACTAAGGGATGGGAATAACCCAGCTGAGAATGAGGGCTGGAGAACCCAAGGATTAGAAGAGTGAGAAGTCGCTCAAGAATGTTCTTGCATACACTGGTTGTCTCTGTTCCCAGGAGATATTTTTACTAGAAGTTTAAATTGAGATGATTTTAAGCAGGTCAGTGCTCTGTGGAAACTAACTAGTTTGGCACTAGTTGTAAAATTATGGTCACAGTTGTTACAGATGCTTGATTTCAATACATCCGGTATACTATCTGTTGAAAGATAGGAATAGCTTTCCCTTGAAGAATATGTTATTGCTGCTCACTACAGCTGTTCATAAGTGTTTCCAATAATGATAACCAATCCTGCCAGCCCTCATTATATTATCATTCTCTTTTATAATGCTTAGAAAATTGTGTAGGCAAATTTTCAAATTATCATTGCTCCATTTCCATCTAGTCTGCACCTTCAGAGGGTCTGCCTCTCCGATCTGCTGGGCAACAATATGTTCTTCAAGGAAGTTCCACAGACTGTTGGTACACCTGGGAGTACAGCAGAGTACAGACTCAGCTGACACTGCAGATTATTGCAATATATATAGGTATATCTCTGTAATCTAAATGTAAAATCTATTGGGTGCTGAAAAGAGACTATTCTTGTAGAACTGTATAGAACCAGGAAGATTTTATACCTGATGTGAGCAGGATGTTTTCCTTTTACAGCTACTGTCTTGTCCAGGAGTATCTTGCATCTAACAATACTCAAAGGCATAACAAAGTACAGGAATTACCATTCGGCACAGTGAACACCAGTATATAGAGGAGGAAATGCTGCTGTATGGCACTAATATGTTACCTGTTCTAAGATGGACAGGCCTGCAGCAGGACTATAAACTTTCTCTCCTTTGGAGAACTTTCAATTGTTCTTTTTTGAACTTTTCACATGTGTTTGGTCACCTGGTGCTGACACAACTCTATAACTTTGATAAAAGGAGCCAAATGTTTGGCGTTTTTTAATGTAATTCTCTGTAGAGAGAAGTAAAGGGCTTGAATTATTTTGACCATAGCCCATTGTTGTCACTGTCACTTCAACCAACCACATAACTCAGTTATGTTTCCTCAACAAAAATATAGTCTGCCAGGCATGGTTTTCTCTGTGTAAAAGAGAGGGCAGAAATCCCATTACCTGCAAACAAGATTTGTGCATCTACCTCTCATACAGAGATTTGGAAAATGTATTCCTATAGGCCTCTGCCCAGGGAGTTTAGTTGTGTTGCTGGTTTTAAAACTGATTTAAAGGTGAGAGCATGAATTTAAAAATATGGATGTTAGCGCTGGGGTGCCCAAACCATGAATCACAGCAACAGCATTTTAGAAAAGAAAAAATCTATTAACAAATGGGGTTTGTACAAGAGAGCCAAGGTACAGTATCTGTTTATTTGAATCAGTTCTGAAACTTTATAAAATCTGGAAATCACTAACATAAATTCTTCAGAGTAGTCAGGACAGTATAACCATAACAGGTTTTGGAACCTTTCCTAACACTTCTTTTTAATTCCTTTCCACTTTCATGTTAAAAAGTCAGAAACAGCATCTCTGAGACATTCTTTGCTGTGCTACCTACACTGAGAGAGAGGGATGCCACCGCCTACCTTATCCAAACATGCATTTGCTGTCTGGATATTTGTTTTCTGCTTTTTCTCAATAAAAAGCAGCATGTTGGGTAAAAGCACCACTCAAACAGGGTTTGACCAGCAGGCCACTTGCCAGAATACACTGTAGTGCCAGTGTAAAGGTCTGTGACCCATTTAGATTCCCAGTGTCTCGCAAAGGCTGTGACTGTAAAACACAAATGGTGTGGCTGCATTTCACATACCAAATGCAATACTTTATCTTCCTGTACAGCACTAACATCCTACCTTGTTTCTCACACAGACTCAGAATCATGTTACACCATCAACAAACTGTAAGTAGTTTACAGAAAAAAATTGCAATTATTTCCTTGCACAGTGCTTCTGGGGAAACACAGGATTATCCTGTTCCCCAATCCTCCTGTCTTTGAGTTCTTATATCCTAAAACATAGGGACTATAAACAGAGGGTAAGGTGAGAATCTCTGAGGGAGTTAATTACTATAGTGTTGGAGCTCTGAGATGGGTGGATGTGTTCAAGGAGTTTATCAGAGGTAGATCCTGCCTGTCAGACAAGAACCATGCACTGTGGGGATCCTCTACCAGTGACAGAGTGGGAATCCCTTGGATGCAGTTCTTTCATACCTGTGTCTCCAGATACAGAGATCTGCACCTGCACAAGGATACATAAGGGAATCTGACTGAGAGGATCTGGTCTTTATAGTCAGTGGAAATCTGGATAGTATAATGGATGGAGTCTCAAGCAATTCTCATCTTGCCTTAAACTAGTTGTCTAATATGAAATCAGGATAATTTTAACTTCTCTAAATTCAGAAATATGAGTAGCTAGGACTATAGAGAGTTTTAGTATCAAATGAGCTAGGAGGAAAACATTTCCAACCTTAATAATGGTGGAGAAGCAATAAGATACATCATTCATTAATAGGGATTCTGTGTGTGCTATGACACACCTGGGTCCAAAAAAATGGTGCTGAGGCTTTATTACCTTCTTATCTGAAGTTTGCCAGAGTTCACATAAGTGTTTTTGAGATAAATATATTTCCAAAGATGTGTTGCTGGTCCACGCCAGAGGCATTTGTCAAAGGAATATTGAACATGTACATGTTAACCTGAATGGTGGCAAAGGAGCTTTGTGCACATAAATTCTCTTTCTGGTTGGACTTTTGTAAGTGCAGGCTAGGTTCAACAGTGTTTTTTCAAACTCCTTTTGTCATAACAGCCACTACATTTCATCATGAAATCTATTTTCAAGAGGAGATTCAAATCGTGAAGTATTTTTAAAATGGGTTTATTTAATATGCTTTGCACTTTAGTCATGGTAGGAAATACTTCTTTCAAGAGCATCTGGCTCTCTGGGCTTCAGTTCTCTGGGCTGAACATAGCAAGAATCTTTTGTTTCTTTCAGACTGTCAGAGTTCCTGCCATCTGGCAATCAGGAAAGTGCAGAACAAAAGGATGTTTCCAACAAACACCAGCTTCAGCAAAAGCTTTTTTTTAAGTTTTCAACCAATTTTGGGTCTGCATCATAAAGCAAAAAGAATGGTATAAAATGTGAAGAGCTGTGCTGTGTAAACAGATCACTGTTGATGTGTGTTCCACAGCTGGACTCACGGCCACATTAACTTGTTCTGTTGCAATAAAGTTTTAACATCCAGGTTTCATCTGCCAGCTGATAAATGATGGTAGACAAATTAAAAACAGTTTTGTTAGCAAGAAACAACAGTGTATCAGGAGTCTGTCAATTAGGTGCTAGCACAGAACGTTGTCATTACACAAATGTCTTTTGGCTATAAATGAATGTCCAGCAACTCTACTAGAAACCTGGGTCTAGAGGATTGCTAATAGCAGCCCGATTTCAAAGTTCATTAGGCTAAGACTTGGCAGACTGATTCTCAGGACAGATGTGCATTTTTTTATTCTTCAAAAAAATTGTATCAGTCCATTCAAGCAACTTTGATCTACAATTTGGCAAACAGCTTACAATTCTCAAAGTTTCATATGGACGTTTTTATTCCAAACTTTAGGTTAACAATGGTTTCCTTAAAAAAAAAAAAAAAAAAGCTCTTGTAAGCCCTTCAAGATAGCTGTATTGGCCTCCTACACATTTTTCCCCTTCCCCCTCCTCAAATATTGCTTGCAAATGGCAGATAACAAAAATGCATGAACATGCCTAGTAGCCTTGTTGCCATGCTTCAGTGCCAAATTGAAACCATGCCACCCTATAACAAACCTTGACCTGCAGGGTAATTGCTCCATTTTTCATGGTTTCCTACTCTGTTGTGGACATTTCAAATTGCACTGACCTGCCACCCACTATTCCAGACAACTCACCAGCCAGGAGTCCAGCTTTTAAATGAAACAGGGTTTTAACTCCAAAATGGCATGAGGAATGTAACTGCTTCAAGATGTATCATGTATTGCTAACCAAAGCCTGGAGTGCTACCTAATATACAACATCCCCATGGAAATGTCAGCAAATGCTACTGCAGTGCAGAAATAGCAGAAGCAGCCTACAGTACAGGGAACGAGGGGGAAGATTATAGCTGTACTGGTGAGCTTCATTGCTGGAAGTTTTCAAAATAGGTCTGCAACTAAAGCTAGATTTTTACTGAATCATGTCACAGATTTCCAGAGGTTTTTATGGACTGAACAATATAATTGATGCGATTAAAAAAGGCACTGGATCGTTAAAAGGTATTTTTAGTGGACAACTAGTCTTTTAAAGCAGCAGCAAGTAAGCCTCAGTAGAGACAGTTTCATGCCAGCATCTAAAACCACAGATTTTCTACAGTCCTCCTGATACTTTTGAAGGTCTCTCTTTGTGCTTAGACCTGGATTAAAATAAAGGTGCTGCAAACATTTTTCACAGGACCCCAGCTCCTTCAGATTCACAAGGGTCTAATTTTTGCTTTCATTAGTGTTTAGGATATAATATCCGTTTCTAGCCCAAGCTGGTACAAAGCACACCTTGAAAATATAATTGTCCGCCTTTTTCTGCAGGCAGCCTGGAATAAGGATTTGTGCCATATAACCCATCTGGGCATCTAAGCACTATAATATTTAACTCCATTGGCATATCAGTAACAGAGGAAGCCTGTGGCAGAAGAAAATGCTGGCTGGCCCAAAACACCCTCTAAAGCAGACACAGCATGTGCTTAACCAGGCTTAGTGCAGACCAGACGTAAGGTCTGGCCTCCTCAGGGTAAGTCAGCAGTGCACTCTGGCCTGCCTAAGGAAAGCTGCTCCTCTGACTCAGGGAGAGCGCACCGCAGTTTTGGGAACCTAAGGAGCCTCCCTTAATCCGAGCCATCTGGTCTGGCAGGATGAGCCCATATTGCCCCATCAGACAGAGCTCTCAGGTGATGCTTTCAGCTGTCATTGCTGGCATCAGGACAGCATGAAGAGGGACATTGGCTTTCTGTGCAGTGCAACTCCCCCAGATTCTTCTGCTACCCTAAAGCAGAAAAGCATCATTTTAGGAGAGGGCACCTGCTCCTCTTAACTGAAGTCCACTTAGCCCAGCAGGGACTCTTTTGGCTACAAAGAGGTGCTGGGTTTTTGCATTCTGTCAGGCTCTTTAGTATTGTTTCTTGATGAACAGCATTAATAAGGCAGGTGTTTTACCCAGCCCAATTGGTGTTTTGTCCCTGGAGAGGTGTTAGCCAGTGGTGTGGGAGAAGGATGTTCATGTAGTAAATCTTTTGTTATTTAAATAGGAAACATTTTTAATAGGGGATACGGGCAGTGTTTAAAAGCTGCAGAGCTAGACGCTCCAGGGATCAGCTGTAAACGAAGGTTAAGCCTTGTGAAGGCTTCTACCTTAGCTTTTTATTGGGACTGCTATTGTGACTGAGGCCTTGATGTTTTATAACTCTGGCCATATGGTTATGTGGTTTTGGAGAAGAGGGTTTGGCGAAGGGCAGGGGAAAGCATGAAGGGAAGGGAGGTTGTTGTTACTGCTGCAGTAGAAGAAGCATGTTCAAATTTCCCATTGTGGTGTGTCCTAACTTACAGCATATGGGTACCAATTCCACAGTCTTTATGGGGAAATCACATGGGCATTGTTAAATCATTTAATCTAAACTTTGAAAAAGAAAAATAATAAGGTGATTAAGGACAATCTGAAGCTACTTGATAATGTGATACTGAGGGGATGGAATCAACTTTCATTACTGAGCTAGGATGAACACAGGATGCTGAGTGCAGGGAATAGGTAGCTGGTGGATTTTTCTGATATTTTGCAATAGGGCAGCTGCTCATGTTCTTTCCACTACAAGAGAGACAGATGCACAAAGAGAGAGCTTCAATGCCTTCTGCAGAGAGCTCTATTATTCTGAGCTGAAATTGAACCATGTTCATTTTAAAGCATTGCAATATAGCCTTTTTATTTCCTCCAGCTGTGGGTCTTGACTTTCAGCTGGAAAGAGGGGGCAAAAAAACAGGGCAATAGAAGGACTGGAAAAAGTAAAACCGCAGGATGCCTGTCAATACCTGCTCTTGAGTTAGGAAACTCTAAACAGGACTATAATTGAAAGAAATTGAAATCCAGGGAGCTCGAGCGACCAGGAGAGCGGCGACCAGAGCAGGTCGACGTAGTTTGCGCGGCAGTTCGTGCGGGCAGGCGAGCGGGCTGGTGAGCACGCGTCGTATGAGCAGGGCCCGGTCCGGGAGCTCTGCTCTGGCTGCCCCGGGGGTGGCAGCGTAGGCACCCAGACAGAGCCGGTGAGAGGGGAGGCTGCAGTGCAGAGCTATGGGTGCAGAGAGGGCCTGCACTGGTCTGGTGAGGGGAGGGTGCACAATGGGCAGGGCTGCACTCGGTGCTCCCTGGTGGAGGTGCTCCTGCAGCAGGGGCTGAGCTGCGGGGTGCTGTTAATAGGCTGCGAGATGTCAGGGAAGCTGAGAGGAAGCAGGAATGCTTGCTCCTGGCCCAAACTCTGCAGGGGCCTCGAGCTTCACCTCTACCTCATGAAGGAAAGGAGGAGGCCGTTCACCTGGGAAGCTGGGAATTAGTGACAAAAAAAAACAACAAAAAAAAAAAAAAAAAGAAGGAAAAGGACAACCAAAAGCGAGGGGCTTCCCCCTAAATCCCCTGTCCCCACGCAGAACCGCTTTGCTGTCCTGCAGGGAGCTAATGAGGAAGCGCACTCGAGCCAGAAACAGCCGGCTGATGCACTGCTAAAGAAGATCTCTACTGGTGCCGCCAGGAAAAAGCGGCGGGTCGTAGTAGTAGGGGACTCTACACTGAAAGGGACAGAAGCACTCGTCTGCCGGCCTGACCCCGTCTCAAGGGAGGTGTGTTGCCTGCCGGGGGCACGGATCAGGGATGTGGCAGAGAGGCTGCCTGCTCTAGTAAGTCCCACGGACTATTACCCACTCCTGGTGATACATGTGGGTGCTAGGGACATAGATAGTAGTAGCCTGGGGAACATAAAGAAGGACTACAGAGCCCTGGGGGAGGTGGTTAGGGGCTCTGGAGCTCAGGTGGTCTTTTCATCAATTCTCCAGGGTACAGGGGAGGACCTAAAAAAAGCTGGGAGGATTGGCCAGGTTAATAATTGGTTAAAAGGGTGGTGTCATAGTCAGGGGTTTGGGTGTCTTGAACATGGGACCCAAGTTTGTAGGCCAGGTCTAGTGGGGGCTGGTGGAGCTGCTCTGATAAAGAAGGGAAAGAGGTGGGAGGCTTGCCAGACTGGTCAAGGAGGCTATAAACTAGATGTGTTGGGGGAGGGGAGCATCATTCCATCCCAGCACATCCAGTCAGTTGCCAGAACCTATAATAAATACCTGGAGCGATGTAGAGATATCCCAGCCGCTCCAGCCAATGAGCTGGCTTCAGTTGGAGCTCGGCTCAGATGCCTCTATACAAATGCCCGTAGCATGGGGAACAAACAAGAGGAATTAGAGATGTGTGCACGTCTACGGGGGTATGATATAATAGGCATCACAGAAACATGGTGGGATGGCTCCTACGACTAGAGTGTCGGAATGGAAGGTTACAGGCTCTTTAGGAAGGACAGGCCTGGCAGACGGGGAGGAGGAGTTGCCCTTTATGTTAGGGATAGGCTGGAGAGTATGGAACTGTGTCTGGGGACAGGTGAGCAGTCCACAGAGAGTTTGTGGGTCAGGGTTAAAGGGAATGTAGCTCTGGGAGACATTGCTGTGGGGATCTGTTACAAACCGCCTGATCAAGAGGACTCTGTGGGTGAAGCACTCCATAGACAGACAGGAAAAGCCTCACGCTCACAGGCCCTTGTTCTCATGGGTGACTTCAACCACCCTAATGTCTGTTGGAAGGACGGTACGGCCCGGCACAAGCAATCCAGGAGGTTTCTCTATTGTGTGGAAGACAACTTCCTTCTGCAAGTAATAGAGGAGCCGACAAGGAGAGGTGCCATGCTTGACCTCATGCTAACCAACAGGGAAGGGCTCGTTGGAAATGTGATGCTCCAGGGCAGCCTTGGATGCAACCTTGGGAGCCTGAGATGCTCGAATTTGAGATCCTCAGGACAGTGAGAAGAGCGTGCAGCAAGCTCACTGCCCTGGACTGCAAAAGAACAGACTTTGGCCTCTTCAGGAACCTGTTTCGGAAGGTTCCATGGGATACAGCCCTAGAGGGCAGAGGGGCCCAAGACTGTTGGTTGATATTCAAGATCACCTGCTACAAGCTCAGGAGTGTTGCATCCCAACCAGAAGGAAGTGCAGCAGGAGGGCCAGGAGACCTCCTTGGATGGATAAGGTGCTCCTGAGGAAAATTCAATTGATAAAAGAGGCTTATAATAAGTGGAAGCAAGGACAGGTGGCATGGGAAGAGTACAGGGATATCGTCCGAGAAGCTAGGGACCAGGTTAGGAAAGCAATGGCCCAGTTAGAATTAAACTTAGCTAGAGGTATTAAAGATAACAGGAAGGGATTCTACAAGTACATAGCAAATAAAAGACAGACTAGGGAGAATGTAGGCCCTCTCAGGAAGCTCTCAGGAGAACTGGCTACACAGGATTTGGAGAAGGCTGAGGTTCTGAATGACTTCTTTGCCTTGGTCTTCACTGCCAAAGGCTCTGACCAAGCCACCCAAGTCTTGGAAGACAGATGCAGGGACTGGGACAATGAAGACCTTGGGCCCACTGTAGGAGAGGATCTGGTTCAAGACCATCTTAAAAATCTGAATGTGCACAAGTCCATGGTACCTGATGAGATCCATCCACGGGTCCTGAAGGAGCTGGTGAATGAAGTTGCGAAGCCGCTGGCCACCATATTTGAGAAATCATGGCAGTCAGGTGAAGTTCCCAATGACTGGAAAAAGGGAAATATAACCCCCATTGTCAAGAAGGGGAAAATGGATGACCCAGGGAATTGCAGACCAGTCAGTCTCACCTCTGTGCCTGGCAAAATCTTGGAGCAGATTCTCCTGGAAGGCATGCTAAGGCACATGAAAAACAACAAGGTGCTTGGTGACAGCCAGCATGGCTTCACTAAGGGGAAATCCTGCCTGACCAATTTGGTGGCCTTCTATGATGGAGCTACAGAACTGATGGACAGGGGTAGGGCAGTTGATGTCATCTACCTGGACTTGTGTAAAGCGTTCGACACTGTCCCACACGACATCCTTGTCTCTAAATTGAAGAGACATCAATTTGATGGATGGACCACTCAGTGGGTAAAGAACTGGCTGGATGGCCGCACAGAAAGAGTTGTGGTCAATGGCTCAATGTCCAGCTGGAGACCAGTAACGAGTGGTGTCCCTCAGGGATCGGTGTTGGGGCCGGTCTTGTTCAACATCTCCGTCGCTGACTTGGACAGTGGGATTGAGTGTGCCCTCAGCAAGTTTGCCGATGACACCAAGCTGTGTGGTTCAGCTGATATGCTGGAGGGAAGGAATTCCATCCAGAGGGACCTTGACATGCTTGTGAGGTGGGCTGATGCCAACCTCATGAAGTTTAACCATGCCAAGTGCAAGGTCCTACACCTGGGTCAGAGCAATCCCAGGCACAGCTACAGGTTGGGCAGAGAAGAGATTCAGAGCAGCCCTGTGGAGAAGGACTTGGGGGTGTTGGTTGAAGAGAAAATGAACATGAGCTGGCTGCAGTGTGCGCTTGCAGCCCAGAAAGCCAACCGTATCCTGGGCTGCATCAAAAGGAGCGTGACCAGCAGGTCGAAGGAGGTGATCCTGCCCCTCTACTCTGCTCTCGTGAGACCTCACTTGGAGTATCATGTACAGGTCTATGTCTTCAACATAAAAAGGACATGGAACTGTTGGAACAAGTCCAGAGAAGGGCCACGAGGATGATCAGGGGACTGGAGCACCTCCTGTATGAAGACAGGCTGAGAAAGTTGGAGCTGTTCAGCCTGGAGAAGAGAAGGCTGCGTGGAGACCTCATAGCAGCCTTCCTGTATCTGAAGGGGGCCTATAGGGATGCTGGAGAGGGTCTGTTCATTAGGGACTGTAGTGACAGGACAAGGGGTAATGGGTTTAAACTTAAACAGGGGCAGTTTAGGTTGGATATAAGAAGGAAATTCTTTCCTGTTAGGGTGGTGAGGCACTGGAATGGGTTGCTCAGGGAGGTTTTGAATGCTCCATCCCTGGTAGTGTTCAAGTCCAGGTTGGATGAGGCCTTGGGTGATATGATTTAGCGTTAGGTGTCCCTGCCCTTGGCAGGGGGGCTGGAACTAGATGATCTTAAGGTCCTTTCCAACCCTAACGATTCTATGAGTCTATGATTCTAAATTCAGGCAAGGTACTGCCTCCCCCTAGATATATGCACAGTTATTGTCCTTCTCCAAATATTTAAGATGCACTATTGAGGAATTCCTTTTCCACTTGAAATTTTTTAGGATGTTAAAAATATGGGGGATGCCTAGAGTATCCTAACAGAGTGCATGTGGTAAGGTCTGCTATTCCAGTATTTTTTATCAGAGGCATCAGTGTGCAAACTTTTCAAAGGCACAAAAGGGAATTGGGTACTTACTTCCTACCCTGTGCCTAAATCCTCTCTGTGCCACCGGAGACCTCTTCCTAGATGAATAACCAGCAAACTCTGAAGAACCCATTTCCAGATGTGAAGCTGGATTTATGATACTAGAAATTCTCAACAGTGACAAAGTACTGAATTTATGGTTCACGTTTGGATTCTTTCAAAAAGGGTCACTTACAGAATTTTGTTCGAGGTTTTCCTATTAATTGATATAAAAGTTAAGGTGAGGAGAAACATCAAGGAGTGATTGGCAGGTTCCCACAGGTTTGCAGGCGCTCACTTTAGTGACATTTATGAAATGTTAGAGAAACTGAGAGTTACCAAAGTATCAGCCCACACTTTGCAGGAAGTCTAAGTCATTTCAGTCTGCAGAGAAAATGAAGTGTCTGTTTCTTTAAATCTTTAATGAGATGCGGCACATACTTCACCAAGGATTTAAAAGCTAAACAGACATTGGGACCTGCATTACATCTCTCTTCTTTGACTATCTTTAGTAAACAAATGCAGTTTAAAGCATTGTACTTAATGATGTTGTTATTAACCCTGTTATTTTTTGAGGCAGTGTATCTCAGTCACTGCATACTGACAGTGTGCAGTTTAGATAGCTCTAGGGATACTTCACAGTTTGTAAGTAAGTAAGCATCAGTGGTGAAGTTGCCAGATTGCTTCGTGAGCTGTAGTGCTCTGGCTTTGCCAGAGCAGATACCTTCCAGCTGCACACTGACTGCAAAGTAACAAGAAATGGCAAGAGTTACTGAATGAGAATAACTCCTGGAAGTGACATTAGGGTGGCCTCCCTAAAAGGAATGAGGAGGGATAATTGCCTGACATTCTTGGGGCCAGAGCTGTGGCATTTCTCTGAGACCTGCAAATTTCTTCCAGGCTGTCTATGGTACTGTAACGCCAAACCGCTAGCAACTCATTACACTCCTACCAGCAAAGCCTGGCCCTGGCAGCTCAGTGCTTTAGTAGCCAATATTAACTTATTATCCTAAGTAAAAATATTTGTAACAGGTGTGTGCCAGACACATTTCCAATCTCATTAAGAAGCTAAAAAAAAACACCAAATAAGGCAAAAGGTGGATTTTGGCTGCCATCCAACAGAACACATAAGTGCATACCTACTTAGAATGTGAAAATTCTCGTTACTTTTGAAGAACATACATCTTTAGTATTAGCATTTAGATTATCTCTTGACTTACAGTTGTTGATTTTTATCTTGAGTGTTGTAAAAATGCTTCATCATCTGCCTTAAAGTCTTCTGTCTTGGAGAGATCCTGAGTAGACAGTAAGCTCCATAACATTTGCTGTGTGAAGGCTGACAGTGTGTATGCCTTCATCCCCTACGTCCGGAAACAGAGCTGGGGCCATACTCAGAGACAGCCTTTCTGAGACATGGCTAGTATGGAGTCTACCTGCTCTGTGTAACCTACAGGCAGAGGAGGAAATGTTTGATCTGCTCTGATCATTCCTTCCTTTGGAGCTGCTTCATGGCCCCTACTGAGGGCAGTGGTGCTGAGTCTCTCTTGGCTACTACTAAAAGAAACACTGGGTCCCACAACTCAGTATCCTGTATTCTTTAGTTAGGCAATCTTTAGGTTGCAGCCTTAACAAAAGCTTCTTACCCTGCTTCCATCACAGGAGTGTTTGTACCTTGCACAAATACTTTTCAAATAATGTTTAGCTGTTTTGTGTTACACCAAAATACGTGAAATATGTGTCCTCTGAGGAAGGCCTCTGTGGGGCATCTGCAAACTGCAGACTGCCAGTTCAGTCACCACGCTATGGTTGTTTGAACTGTCTTTAACCTGAGCTGTGAGAGTCCTGGAGTACTTGGTCTAGCAAAACTCCATTGTCATAGTAATGGCCAATTATTTTAAAATAAGCTTTTCATAACCAAATCATAGGTAATAATTCCTTATATCCTTCACAGATATTTCCTTTCAAATCCTTGCTCCTCATGAAGCTGGAACAGCTCCTTGTATCTCAAGCAAACACATACAGAAAAACATAAACTAAGATCTTCTAGACACATGGAGAAGTATTGGATTCACTCCTGCTTGCCTGTTTTTAATTCCTGACACTGCCTATGTTACATAAACAGTTTTCAAGCAGAAATCCCCTTTTACTTTGATTAGTAGTTGCACTTTAAAATCAATTACATAATATATCCTTTGGGAAGGAAACAATTTCTGAGAATAAATGAACAGCCAGCTTTCTGGATCTTAGAAATAGCACTAAGATCTATTAAAATGCAAACCAGCTGTTCAAGAAGCTCCTCAGAGGCTTCTAAAAGACAGAAAAGATTTGACAATTGAACTTCAAGCAAAAGTGCTTAGGTTAAAAAGTAAGTAATTTTAACAAGACTTTGATGTCTGATTATCTGAAATTAGGAACTTCTTAGCTCACTAATTTCCTCTGGTTTTCATAACCGAGTTCATCAGCTAAACACCAACTGGACTTCAAGGAGTGTATTGATGTGACACAAATCACAAACAATACAATTTCTTAGGAGGCCTTGTAAGGGGCAAGAAGTAGTTTTTGTTCTATTCATCCAACTGCATTTGTGCAAAAGCTCTCTGTGCTGTGCTAGCAACCCGAAGCTGTCCTTCCAAATCAGTGAGCTTTGGGTTTTAATCACTGCAAGTAAATGAGCTATTCTAGTTACCAAAAGAGAAACAGTTGCCAATCATAGTAGAGAAGAAAGCAGACCCACTGCAGGGCATGAAATTAAATTTTCCAGGTAGTAGCCAGTAATTGATACCACAATGTGACCTTTGCCAATAGCAGCCAATTTAGAGCTGCGTGGAACCGTAGCCGAAGTAGGACAGAGGCTATGATCACCAGCACGCTTGCTCAGCAAAGACAGTGCTCTCTGCCTTCACTGGCACGTAGATCTGTGCCTTTGTAATTCACACGAAGCAAGACTCTCACCAGATGCAGACAGCATCCCAAGAATATCTTTACACAGACCTATTTTTAATAACATTTTTTGTAACATGGCAAAATAACAGTACAGCAAATTTGCATACAAATTACAAGGAATTAACAGGTCTCCTTAATACTAGCATATTTTATGTGCCCTTAGTCAATGACATTTTTTTCTTCAAGTTCAAAAACTAATGAAGAACCTCTATCAGTAATCCTCATTTTATTCCCTATAGAAATCAACCACAGGGCGATTCTACACCCCTTTTAAATTGCCAAAGTCTCTGGGTTTCCACTGACTAAATAGACAGTGAAGCTGGGGATTCCCATGTGAGATTCTCTCTCATCCTTAAGCCATACCCACAAACCCACAAGCCACCTGAGTGAGGCACACATCTGGCCCAGCCATCCTAGATAAGAGAAACAAGCATTGATGGAAAGGAATTTATCTCAGCTGCAGGCTCAAGCAACTTCCAAATGTACTCATTTCAGATTCACTACTGCTCAGTGTCACCAAACTCCCCAAATAAGCACATACCAAAGAAAAGGAGGATCAGTCTTTGTCTACCTGCTGAAGCCAACAAAAGCCTTTTCCAATAACTTCAGATGAAGGCCTCAACTGTCGTGTGCTACCAATGAAATAAAAAGTAACTTTGCCACCAGCACCACTCTGCCCAGATGACACTACAAAACTGAAAGCACACATAAGGTAGTCTTTGTAAAGTGTCTTTCCCACCTTACAAAATGCAGCAGCAGCTTAAAGCAAGTCCCCATGCCCACTACTGAGGGACTTCCTGTGGATTTTCTCCAGCACATTTTTCTCCATAAAATCAATAGGACTACATGTGCATTTAGAAGCAGGCAGTATTCAGCAGACAGGTGTCCGAAATAAGACCAGTATCACTGGGGCTTCCTCATGAAGCACCACTTATATTACCGAGTATCAAATCTGCTGCTGACAATTTTACTGCTCTACTGTAGAAACAGTAATGCATTCTCTCAGGCCACTGAAATCTGAAGCTGTGCGCTGAAGACAAAAGCAATAGACCTGAGAAATGCTGAAAATTTTATCAGCTCGGAGAAAATAGATACATATCATTTAGAAATGTTGCTCCAACCCTAGTTGTTTCCCAGATTATTTCTTCTTATAAATATGCATCTATAATCAGACATGAAATTCTAGATATTAGAAATACCTCCCGAGTTTGGGCTTATTAGAATAAAAAAACAAGTGCAGAAGCAGAAAGAGATTTAGAAAAAAAAAAATCCCCACACAATTAGATATAGCTCTCTCAGCCATGTCATTTTGATTGCAGAGGACTGGAGTCACAGCTCCCTATTCAATTTAGATTGCAATCAGATTCTAATTCAGATTTCAATTAATATTCTAATTTTAGGGAAAAAATGCTACAATAGTAAAGAGAAAAATTACTTGTGAGGACTCACCATACAGGATGTAATGAAGGTCAAAGTTCAGAAATGCAGGGATGAATGGAAACCAGCACGATAATGAAATCACACAATTTCATTATGATCATTGCGTGCTAGGGAAGGGCAACCAAGCAGGAGATGTCCTTTCCCCTGTCACTTGGATGGCTACAAAAATAACTTCTCAACTCACTGTCGTTTGACCTTTCTACAAATGAGACCAATAGCTATCACAAATTTCTTCAACATGCTGGTAGCACCAACAAAGGAAAGATGACACTTGGCAGTCCTGCTGTCATATATAGAACTCACTCTCAGACTGCTGTCACTGAATTATATTACACAAGCAGGAAGGGCTTGGGTGTCTCTAGACAACAAAGAATTTTGTTGCTCCAGGATGAGGATGAAGTTACTTCTTGGCACAAGATATGCGTGACATGTTTCCTTCCACCCATGCACCCACCTGCATGTACACACACAGACCTTGTTTCCTTCCTGGCACTGTGCAAATCCTCTTCTGCCCAGGGTGATGTACTTTCACCTCCTGTGCCAGCCCCCAGCACTTCTCCTGCATCCTCTCTCCTTGCAGCCTTTCATTCACATGCCTTCTGCACCCACTCTTCTGGCCCAGACAACCCTGCAAGGTACCTCAGTTAAATAGGTAAATCCACAGGCAAATGGCTCCTGACAGCCATCAACATGTAGAATCAGGTAGGCATCTGCTTCTGTTGGGCTTTCAGGCTGGCTGTGGTCTTCTGCTTGTTCAGGAACTTCCAGCAGACGGTGAAAGCCAGCCCATAGTGGTAATGGAAAATCAGAGTCCTGAGGAACTATGTACAAAAAATAAACATTTTCCCTGTTTTTAACAGAGAGTCATAAGGAGTTTCCTGTGAAAACCTGACTATAGAGTATGCCATGGCTAGAACGGGAATTTCATGTGAAAATACTGCTTGTAATTGTAGTGTGGAAAATACCTCAGATACTGTACAGAGGTGAGATACAGAGCATAGGACAACTTTTAACTGACAGCTTAATCTTGATAATGTGTAGTCCCAAAGCCAAAAAAAAAAAAAAAAGGACATAACGCTCTGCTATTTGTCCATGAATATTGACATGCAGAGTAGAGGAGGTAAAAGTGCAGGAGGCACTGCCTGCTGAGGCACCACAAGCCAGGGCTTTCTAGCAGGGATGCAGGGGTTACCTGGGAGCATGGGCAAATGTCTGCATCGGAAACTGAGATGCCAGAGCTCTTGCTTCAACACCAGCTCAGGTGAAGTGGCCCTTAGCTTAGCAGTCTCCCAAGCTGACAAAGCCTTCCAAAAATTAGGATTTATTATCTGAACTCCAGACTGTCAGAGCTAGTGAGCACCACCAGCCCTGCACAGCCTAGCCTGCACCTTGGATGCTGCCCTGTGCTTCCCCCAGTGCTTTCCCTGCCCACTCAGTCTTCCCCCCAGCTGCTCCTGCCATCCTCTGTTTCACAGTGTAGTTGTACCTGTGCCTGACATGTTGAAAACCACATTCTTGTGCTTTCCTTTCCATTTTAGAGCCACTTGCTAATTGAAGGGGAACTGCAAGCAGTTTGCTTCTTGGAGAAGTCTGATTATGGGGCCCAATGACTGGGATTATGCTTTCTGTGTTCACCTCCCCTTGCCATCACTCCTCTCCCTCCCTTGCTGTCGGGTTTTAGTTTTTTTTCAAGCTATGAATTTCGGTGTTAATCCCTAAAAGGGGTGAGAACAGATAGCCTGCCTCCTGAATTTACTCATCAGCTAGATAACTACATCGTGAAATTCAGCAAACATGTTATTTCTGTCCTAATGAAGTCCTTTTTCAGTTGAGCTAAAGTACACCCCTGGCTAGCCTTGGTAGACCTGAACTTTTCAAGGTGCTTTGTGTGGAGATTGGCAGCTAGCCCAGGGCAAAAGTGTTCTGCATAGAATCAGGCTGAGACCTTGGTGAGCTAGCACAATGAAGAGTTCAGTAGCCAATCAATAAGACAGCCATCAACATCAACTTTAAGGGCGCCTTTTAGGGAATGTGATTAATTTTATGATAACATCTATGAACTAATAGTTGAGTGCTCTCAGAGCTTTTGGTGAAAGCAATTATTTAGATGTGTGGAGGTTATTGTTCTGTCTACATCAAACACTGAGGGAAATAAAGTCTAAAAACACCAGAGTTCCTTCAGAAGCAACAATATAGGCTGGGTGCATGTCCCAGCTCGATGCTTGTATTCGTGCAGCCATGTGAAGCTTGGTGTTAATTTTTTGAGACCTTCCTCCCTAATCACTTCTTCACGGCACCAAGCAGCACCCACCCCACAACAATATGCCCGGATTAGAGCCAAAAATTCCTCAGTTTATGGCTACAGTTTAATCTTTTTGTATGTTTCTCATTTAGATACAGATCAAAATGGGAGGAAGTGTAAGAGGCTTTCTGCTTCTCGAGGTGGCAAATTTCTCACATATTCAACAATTTCCCTGGCATTTTTGTTTTGGGATGAAATCTGACACACAGATTTGAAATTTTGAGAGATTAGGCCCTAGTCTCTATTCAGATCTGAGCTGTAAACTACATCAACCTTGTGCAAAGTCTCATTCAAACCCTGCATAAAGTTGAAGAGGAACAGAAATGTATTCCAATCTTATTTTAGGACATTACTCCATCCTATCTCACAGACTTTTACAGTTATGTTCATTAATTTTCTACTTTCTGTCACCAATCCTCTATTTCAGCCATTTCAGAATACCCCCTGAACCTCCTTTACTGTGAAATCTCAGGCAGGTTTCCTTTTCTCATTGTAGTGACAGTATAATGGATTTTTTAAAATCTTACTGATGCTGGGAAGTGGCAGATTTTGTTAATGACATTTTTGTGTCATGCTGGCCTTCTTAGTAATCTTTTTACGTGGTGGTGGTGAGCAAAAAGTAGCACAAGTGAAATGATATTTCAGTTGAAGTCTTTTGGTCAGGAAAGAACCAATTTCATCCTGCAACACACAAAAAATAAATGGAAACATCAGAAGATGTGAAAAAGGATTTTGCACTGTTAGAATTTTTTTTTTTTTTTTAAACTATGTCTGTATTTATTAGGATTATAATTTGTGCTTAACTTGTGATTAACTTTTCACAAGAGCATCTGGAAATAGAAAGGGGCCAGTTATAGACAGTGCATAGTCTTGAATTCCTAGAATACTGCAAGAACTGAAATCTGCAGGGCACCATCTGTACTATTGTTTGACTGCTGAGAATCTTGAAAGCAGCCTTTTTACAAAGAACCACTGTGCTTTAATTACAAGTTTAGGGGAAATAAAGCCAAAGAAATTTCTGGCAGCACCCACACTGACAGGAAATTCAAACATCTTCAAGCACATAAGCCAAGGAAGCTGCTGAAACTGAACTCATTTGGAGCAGGGCTTAGTTTCGATATGTGTGAGATGAGCCTGAGGCTGGAGGTGATTGTGTCAAACAGAATGAAAGAGAAGAAGCAGCAGGAAGAGGGCGAGGCTGATTAGAGCACCAGAATATACTTCTGTGAGTATTTGGTGGATATTTCCATGCCTACCCTACTGCCTCCCTGCTCCTCCTGCATCCCTGCAGGAGTCTTTTGTTCTTGGGCATGATGCCAGCCCTAAGCAGAGTAGCTGGGACTTGCCCGGTAGGAAATCAGCATTTCCTTATGCCCTTTGGGGCAGACCGTGCTCACAGGGTTGGCATAAATTCTCCTTTCCT